GGTGGTGCTGCCAGCGTGCGGTGCCGCCTGCGGTGGAGCCGTGCCTTCAGGTGTGCGAAGCCTGGTGTGAGCAGGGTGGGAGCGAGGGGGTTTCTGCGAGAACCGGTTCTACGCTGGCAGCTCTGGACTCGGCTGTCTCTGAAGGCACCAGAGGGGTGGATGGAAGGATACAGGGTGCAGCTGGAGCCCTGTGAAGAGCCCAGAACAGCTCCACAAAGTACCGCTGACCTGGGAGCACCACCGTGACCAGGTGGCCGAGCAGCAGAGCATGCAGAGGGACCTGGGCAAGGCCTTGCTGCTCTCCAGAACCCTTTGACTCCTGGCCCACGCTGGCTCGGGGAGATTTAAGGAGCAGCTCCCAGCCCTTGTCAGTGCAGGAAAGCAGTGGGTTTTTATTTCGCCATTCCAGCAGATAAAGAAGGCTATTAGATACTGATTAACCCTATTCTGTCCAGCATGGCCGCTCGCTGCCTTGTGAGACAAATGCTCCCAGCCCCTGCTTCTTCTGAGGCAGCCTTCTGGCTCTCCTCAGCAGGTCCGGAGGAGCAGGTATCTAGAAGTTGTGTTTTCTGCCCTTGGACTGTAGCAGGCCTGTGAAAGGTGTGCAAGCCCGCTGGCAATAGCTTTGCTTTTCTCAAGCCTGTTTTACAGCAAACTATAAATTACCAAATTGAATTGAGGTCACCTAAAAGAGACGCAGACCGTCCCTTTTGTGGGTAGAGCCTTTGTACACAGCCCCTGGTTGTTCCCGAAGAATGGCTCGTTATCTGCAATAGGGGATGCCAAGCAGTGATTAGTAGTTTTCTCTTTTCTTATCTTCAGCAGCTTCATGTGGTGCTGGGAGCTCTTACAGTTGCTCCATGCCGGGAATGGTCTTTCTGAAATCGTGACTGAGGTGAAGAGATACGAAATGGTTAAAATGGCTCCCTTGACACACAAATGCTAATTAAGGTGATAACTCAGTCTGTTGCTCTGATGGATCATCAGACAGCTATTTTAAATGCTTTTCTTGGTGGGAAGCTTACCGCAGCTGACTGGGGCAATGAATTTTTAGGCTTGAAAGGACCGTAGTAGCCGGAGCAGCCTGTTGGCATTGTTCTTGTGGAAATATTTGCTTTAGCTGTGGTATCCAGCCAGCATCGCCTCTGGCCCATCCGCTCTGCTCCGGCTTGCAGAACTGCTGTAGGGGCTTTGGCAGAGGTTTTGAAATCCAGTATCTGAGGTTGGCTGTACCTCAGGGAGCGTGGATTGGCCCCTTCACAATGGAAACCTTCACTGGACTAGTGAACGCTTGCTTACCTGCAGGAAAACTTGCTTTCTGGGCTTGACTTGAGTCCATGAGCACACTCTTAGGTCTCTGCAGCTCGGGCCATGCGTTCCACATACATTTTTAAAGGGTGTTGCTGGTTTACGCATTTTCCTACTTTCTCTCTGTCCCATCTGTCACACTGCGCTTGCATTAAACTGGCTCGGAAGACCAGCCTGGCTGAAGAGTATGGAGACTACTTGAATAGCAGGTCTGCTCAGCATCTAAACTCTAACTCAGGCCGCCTGTGTTCAAGTCCCATAGCTGGAAAACGTGCTTTCTTTGGCTTACATCGTGTATCCCTCAGGTACTTCAACCCCAGCTTAAACTTACCTTCGTTTAGTTTTCCGCACTGGAATACCTCCAGCCTGGCAGAGGAGGGGTGCAGTTTATAACTTTGGCCTTTATTCAAGATCAATGCTCTTTTAATTGCTCGAAATAAAATATAACGCAATGCAGAGACAACAACGTTACGGTGACATGGGGCAGCGGTGTGTTAGGACTTGTGGCCTCGGATCCCTAGCAGATCACTTTTCCCAAACCCCTGTCTAGAAAGCTTTGCCTCTGTGATCTCTTGGGTATCCTGATTGGTTTGGACAACTCAGCCTGGACTTTTTCCTCCTGTCTCCCTGCAAGCTCAACTCCCTGGAAACAGCAGAGGAGTCTTTCTTTGGCCTTCACCCCAAAACCTTCAGGCTGAGAACAGGAAAATCAGTCCTAAACCTACCCTTCGCTGCCTTAAGCCGATAGAAAGACCAGCTCAGAACAAAAGTACTTAACTCTCCGGAGTGCTGCAGCTTCAGTAAATGCCCGCAGGATCAGCATTAATTGCAGCAGTAGTGTATTAGGGCCCAGTGACCTGCTTAAGTGTTTGCAGGATCGGGACCTAAATACCCCAAACACTGTAAGCCGCTTGGTGAAAAGCCCAGCAGAAGGAAGGTGCCGTCACCGTCTCCAAAGCAGCAGCTCTTTAAAATAGATGGCCGGGCTCCTGCAGCCCTCGATACCAAAATAACCTGAGACCAGGTAAACCGCAGAGGGACACGCTCCTGTGCAGGGTGTGGTTTTCTCTTCCCCCGCCTCTCCACTGCCGGAAAGGCGTCAGGAGAGGTTTTCCAAAGCAGCATTGCGTGCTGCCCAAACCTGCGGTAGGTTTTTGCCCCGACAGCCCCCTCGGCGTGTCCTGCTCAGGTCGCTCCCTCCCCGCTGGCTGCAGCCTGTGTCCCTCTCTGCAGGGTGTATGTTGCTGGCATGACTGACTCATCCTCCTTTCTAAGCTGATCCTGTACTTAACCGGAGAGGTAATTAACGCTTGTTAGTGGTCTAGAAAATGCTAAGCACATCTTCCATTTTTAAACTACCCGAGGTGGCTCTGCCTCGTACGTGTTTGCTGCCCTTTTTTTCCACAGAGCCTGTCAAGAAGAGAAACAGAGGCTTTTTATTCGGAAATACTGTACTGATAGGAAGAGCAGTTAAGTCTGAAGAGGGCGAATGATGTTTGGGGCTCCATGAGATGCAATCTACATACACGTGCTAGTGCAAAGTATGTTTATGTAGTGAGTAAACTGTGTCTAAATGGACCCAAAACAGGGACAGAATGGAGGGGAAAGATGATTTTGTGAGTTCTGCTGATCACTAGCATTAGAGCTGGCCCGGGGGTGGCTCCAGGCTGCCTGCATTCCCTGGGGCAAAACCCAGCCCCAGGACAGCATTCCCGTGTTGGGAAAGCTTGTTATCCTCACGTGAGGCAGCCTTCCCCGGGCTGCAAACCTTTGTAAAGCTGATACCTGGCAGCATTAGCGGCGGGAGCTGTCTCACTGTGTATTTTGCCTTTAGCAATCAAGACTGAACCCTGCCCCAGAGGAGATAAACCCAATCTACCTTGTGCCGCATGCTTTGTGCCCCACCGAGCTCGGGGGTCTGGGTAGGCGCCTGCATGGTGCTGTGAGTCAGGATGCTCAGAGCTGCTTGGAGTCGTCGTCTTTAGTACTCCTGTCTTCAGGAAGGGGGTGTTACAGCCGCAGCCCTCCATCAGGCAGGTTAAAAACCACCACAGCTCTTCTCTTGCACTGTGTACAAGCCTGCAGAGCCTGGACGTGGGACTGGGCAGAGGCTGTGGCCAAAGGGAAAATAACGGTTTCTTTTTATAGTGTGGTCTAGTCTGCCCTTGACATTAAGAGAGCCTCTCCATCTTCAGGATGTCTTGCCAACAGCGCAGAGGCAAGTGGTTTGTAGAGCGGCTGCTGAGGAGTTGGGGGCAAAGCTCCTCCTGACGCAGGGAGGTTTTGTGCTTGACAGCAAGGGAAGGGGCCTTCACGTCGGAGCTTGTCACTTGTCACACTGGGAAGAAAGTGTCCTCTGCGATTTCCAGGAAAACAGCATTTGGCTATGACATCCCTCTTGAAGCGAGGCAGAGTTTGTAGGGCAGGGAAGGGAAATATCTTCATTAAGTCAGCCAATGTTGCGGGAAAAGCAGATTAGTTTTCACGCACAAGAGCCCTTCCAGGAGTTTGGAAGAGGCTCCGTTTTCGTGCTTTGTGCAGTTGCCTGGGTCTGGCCGAGGTTCCCTGGAAGGGACTAACCTACGCGATCCCGCCTGTAGGCTGCGAAGAGGCGGCACTTGGCCAGAGCATAAGAGTTTAAGGCTTGTTTCCTGGGGCCTTTCTGGTGTCGGCACATGAGGCAAGCAGGGCCATTTCTACACATTGATGACTTGGAGGGGGTCAGTTATCTTCAGCCACAGTGAACTGAGGCTCTTTGCCCATTCTGCAAAGTAAAATGCAGTGCCAGATCATGGAGCATAAAGGAGTTGGGTTTTTTTCCCCTTGGATAATTCTCTTCCCACTGCTTGTACCTTTTCCAGTGGTTTAAAGACAAGATTTCCCTTGAGGTTTTCTCTCTGGCCATGTTGGTGCACGTCCCTGCCCAGTTCTCAAGCCTAATTCTTAGCTTCTTTTTTTCCCTTCAGCTCATGGTGGTCCCATGTGGAGATGGGTCCCCCCGACCCCATCCTGGGGGTGACAGAAGCTTTCAAGCGCGACACCAACTCCAAGAAGATGAACCTGGGTGTGGGGGCGTACCGGGATGACAACGGGAAGCCGTACGTCCTGAACTGTGTTCGCAAGGTGAGCCTGGTGCTGGCTGCGGGGCAGGGCCAGATCCAGGTGTCGGGCGCCCTGGCGGGGTCAGGGAGGGGGAAGGCCTCTAGGCAAGGTTTGCCTGTTGGTCCTTAGAATAAGCTTTCTCTCTACGAGAGCAGGACAGTGTTCCTGGATGTCTTCCTTAGCAGGACTAATGCTTTTGAGACACAACAGAGATAGTTGTTAAGTAGTAGGGGGTAAAACAGGGAATACGTGTCCTGTTCCCATCCGGGTAAATCTAATTTGTTGTGGACTTCCACGAGCCCTCCAACCCAGCTGTCCTCTGAACTTCAAGGTGTTTCTTGAATAGGCTGATGTTCCCTGGGCCAGCCCACATGGGGGGAAAGAGCTGACATTGTCCCCTTGACGGATTAGTCTTAGAAATTCTGCTGAGCCGTTGTTACCAGTTTCTCCATAAGCCAGTCTAAAACTCCAGCCCAGGGAGCTGGATGTGGACAGTGCCCTTGAGGGGATTATGGAGCCTTTCAGGGCTGTAAGTGTAGAAATAGGCCGTTAAATAGCTGGCAGGTGACACACATATTGACTGGCTGGTCTCCTTGGCGGAGGGAGGATGCGTTGTCCATATTTCTCATCAGTGTGGGGTTTAAAGCCATCCCTTGCCCTCACTCTCCCCGTGTCACGTATTGCAGCTGGGTCACAACCGGGGAGCCCGTGTGGTGTCGCAGGATCGGTTTCCTGGTGGTACGTAAATGCTGCCAGGGTCTGTCCCACCACTCTGGGAGCATGGATGGGGCTCCCAGAGCGTTCCAGATGTCTCTGTCACTGCACTTTTCCCGAGCATGGCTCCTTGTCTGCTGTTCTTGCTGCCACCCTCTTACCCTGTGTTAGGTAAGGACTTGGACTGGTTTCTGATGCAGGATCTGCTTGAAAGAAGTAGAGATTAGCAAAGCTGGGGGAGCCATGTTTAAGGGTTGGGTGAGCTAGCTTTCAGATAGGCTGCTTTCAAAATCGGCTGGGGTTTCTGGATATGTTTTTTTTTAACCTGCTCCATCTAGTTCAATAACACTCCCAGCATGACGAGGCCCTACAAAGGGCTTGCTACCCTACCTGGTTTTGGGATGCCTTTTGGTAACAGTCAAGTCTTGCCTTCCTAGAGGACAATTCCTGCTTGGGCAAAGAAACATGTGTCCTTGTGCAGCAGCGCTGACTTATAACGGACTTGAGGGCTCTGGTGGCCGCTGGGCACCTTGCCCCGTGGTAAAAGCAGAGTGTCATCTGAAATGTTTATTGCTGCCCTGGCTTTGAATGAGCCCTGATCTCTGAAGGGAAACTCCTCTAAACCAACCTTTGCCCCTCTTGAGCAAGCGAATGTGAAGAGAAGCACCCTTGGAGCTGTCTACCATCCTCTCCACAGTGATGCCTTCCTTGCTGAATATGTGTCCTCCTTCCCAGGCGGAGGCCATGATAGCATCCAAGAAGATGGACAAGGAGTACTTGCCCATTGGGGGGCTGGCGGATTTCACCCGGGCATCTGCAGAACTGGCCCTGGGTGAAAACAGTGAGGCTTTCAAGAGCGGCCGGGTAAGGAGTGAGCTGGGGAGCAGGGGGTGGGTAGCACTGTCTGATGCACGGTTGGTACGTGGGTGCCCAGCAAAAATGGAGGGGCTGGCAGGTACTCATGCCTCTGAATTGCAAGCTGACCAAGGATAACTGCTTCCTCTGAAGGCTGGCGTGAAATAGCCTATCCCAAGGAAGAGATTTGACCTTGCCAGGGGTTCCAACTCCCTGCCCTGCAACTGCAGTGGCTGACCCACGCGGTTCCCTCCAGCCCCACGTCCCTGTTTGAGTGAGCTGTCGCAGAGTGCTTCTGCCAATGCTGACTCAGAGACTGGGCTTTCCCTGTATCATACTGTGGCTGCTCAGACATGTGTTTGTTTCTTCCCTTGCAGTATGTCACTGTGCAGGGTATTTCTGGGACTGGATCTCTGCGAATTGGAGCCAATTTTTTGGTGAGTCCCTGGCTGGTGGGGGAAGGAAAGGTAATCTTTTGACCAGAGCTGAATCTTTGGGGTTTTCTAACTGCTTGAATCTTTTCAACCTGTTTGAACACTCTGTCTTTCTCTTGATCAGCAACGGTTTTTCAAGTCTAGCCGTGATGTGTATCTGCCCAAACCGTCCTGGGGCAATCACACACCCATTTTCCGTGACGCTGGCCTGCAACTTCAAGCTTACCGCTACTACGACCCCAAGACATGCAGCCTTGACTTCTCTGGAGCCATGGATGACATTTCTGTGAGTTGCCTTTCCTACCTGGAAGCAGGGAGGTGATGTGGGGAGATGGGTGATCATCTTGCTTTAGCCCAACTATCATAGAATCATAGAACAGTTTGGGTCGGAAGGGACCTTTAAAGTTCATCTAGTCCAACCCCCTGCTTTTGGCAGGGACATCTTCAACTAGACCAGGTTGCTCAGAGCCCCGTCCAACCTGACCTTGAATGTTCCCAGGGATGGGGCATCTACCACCTCTCTGGGCAACCTGTGCCGGTGTCTCATCACCTTCATCGTAAAACATTTCTTCTCTATATCTAGTCTGAATCTCCCCTCTTTTAGTTTAAAACCATTCCCCCTTGTCCTATCGCAACAGGCCCTGCTAAAAAGTCTGTCCCCATCTTTCTTATAAGCCCCCTTTAAGTATTGAAAGGCCGCAATAAAGTCTCGCCGGAGCCTTCTCTTCTCCAGGCTGAACAACACCAACTCTCTCAGCCTTTGCTCGTAGGAGGGGTGTTCTATCTCCCTGATCATTTTTGAATATGATGCCTGAAGGCACCAAACGAAGGCTAGAAGCCTTGCAGAGCTTGTCTAAGTTGTCTAGGGCACGAGTGCCACCTCAGCTGCTGAGGAGAGTGCTCAGATGTCATTAATAATTTATTCTCTGTAACATCTTCCTCAGAAAATTCCAGAGAAGAGCATCATCCTCTTGCATGCTTGTGCTCACAACCCCACTGGAGTGGATCCCCGGCAGGAGCAATGGAAGGAGATGGCTGCTATGGTGAAGGTGAGCAGGAGAGTGTCCCAGGGGTACTGTGCTGTTCCTGGGAAAACCACATCTCTGGGCTTTCATGGGCGGTATCTGGTCTTCACTGCGCTAAAGGTTACTCCCTTCCCTGAAGCCCGGATGGGTGTCATGTTCCTGTACTGAAGACAGGAGCCAGACAAGTGCACCCCTAACGCTTCTAGCTGACCGTCAGACTTTCTGCTGGCACCTTCCCAGGAAGCTGGGGTAGGGACACCTGAAAGGAGAGCAGCAGGGTTGAAAGAGTGAGCTGTGATAGCTGGAGAGGGTCTCCCAGTGCTGGTGTATTAAAAATCCTGGAAGATCTTTCACGTGCCTGGTGTCTCCTCACAAGTTTCAGCTAGAAACAGATAGGGCTGGGTTCTTCCTTCATCCTTCTCCTCTTCCTCTCTGCCGCTCCCCCAAGCTGTAGCCAGTGAAATTTGGCTTGGGGATGCCAGGCCTTAGTACTGTCCTGAGAATTGGTAGATAGCAAAGCGGCCTCTGGGGCCTACAGATGGCTGTGGGTCTCCTGACCGAGGGGCAGTGCGGCTGGGTTGTCTGCCTAGAGGTATTGGAAGGGCTGGCACCTGCCCAGAGGGTTCCCAGGTGGTTTTCCTGGAAACTGATAATACAGGAGACACTGAAATGGAATGATTTATTACTGCTGAATCCAATTCTGCCTTCTGGGCCAGACTGCACATCCCATAAATGCACTGGGAGGGTCCTGACCCGCTGTTTGGATGTGTGGTGGGTAGCTGTAGTTCTGGGGCTGCCTTCCCTGTTGCAAAGGGGAATGGCTCTACTTCTGGAGCAGCACAGTTGCAGTTGAGCAGCCCGCTGCCTGTGTGGCTCTTTTCAGCCTGCTGCCCTGCTCCTCGGGGGGGTGTTCAGCTCCTGTGACACTCTCTCCCCTCTTTGCTGGCAGAAACGGAACCTCCTCGTGTACTTTGACATGGCCTACCAGGGCTTTGCCAGCGGGGACATCAACCGGGATGCCTGGGCTGCGCGGTATTTCATCGAGCAGGGCATCAACGTCATCTTGTCACAGTCCTATGCCAAGAACATGGGGCTGTACGGTGAGTAGGGCAGGTGGTGCGGAGAGGGTTTCATCCAGGCTGCTGGAGGGACCCTGCTGCCGCTGGGGTTTAGCAGCCAGTGTCTTTGTGCTGCCTGCGTTCATCCAGCAGGAGATAACCCGCTGGGAGCTGGTGGAGACCCTTCTAGAGAACAGAAAGCTGTGTAGCATTGGGTACCCGGTCCTGGGTATCCAAGGGCAGAGGCTGGGATCTGATTGTCCCCCTTTCAGGAGAGCGTGCAGGTGCCTTCACGGTGGTCTGCAGTGACGCAGAGGAAGCCAAGAGGGTCGAATCACAGCTGAAGATCCTCATCCGTCCCATGTACTCCAACCCACCCCTGAACGGAGCCCGCATCGCCTCCATCATCCTGAACACCCCTGACCTTCGGAAAGAG